ATATTGGATCCTGAACGTGAAAAATATATCTATACATTAATGCTAAACGTCTTAAGAAGACTGATAATACCACTTACATGTGGCACAACTGTCTTGGTCACATCGGAAACAACGTATGCAAAAACTTCATAAAGATGAACTATTAATATCATTTGATTTTGAATCATTTGGCACATGCAAAGCTTGTCTAATGGGTAAAATGACTAAAACACCGTTCACTGGTCATCCTGAACGGGCACTTAAATTATTGGATATAATACATAGTGATGTATGTGGTCCAATGAGTATTCCGATGCATGGTGGATACTTATACTCTGTAACCTTCATTGAAGATTTGAGTAGATATGGTTATATCTACTTGATGGAACATAAGTATGGAACATTTGAAAAGTTTCAAAGAATTTCAAAACATAGTTGAGAATCATCATGGAAAAAGATAAAGTTTCTATGATCAGATCATGGAGGAGAATATCTAAGTCACGAGTTTAGCAAACATCTAAATGATTGTGGAATTGTCTCACAACTTACTCCTCACGGAACTCCGTAGAGGAACAGAGTGTCTAAAAGGCGCAACTAAACCTTGTTAGACATGGTAAGGTCAATGATGTCATTTACTGATCTACCTTTATCATTTTAAGGATATGCACTTGAAACAACAACATATACACTAAACAGAGCACCGTCTAAGTATGGTAAGATGACACCATATGAGTTATGGAAAGGGAAGAATCCCAATTTGTCGCATCTCAAGATTTGGGGTTGTGAAACTTATGTAAAACGTTTGCAACCAAATAAGCTCGATCCCAAAGCAGACAAGTGCTACTTTGTAGGTTATCCCAAAGAAACAATTGGGTATCCTTCTACCAAAATTTTGAAGTCAACGTGTTTGTTGCAAAGAATGAACACTTTCTCGAGAAGGAGTTTCTCGATAAAGAAGTGGGAGGAAAATATAGCTTGACGAGATTACTGAATCTTCAGAAGTGAGCATAACTAATGAAACAAAATCTGTAGCGCACAGGAAGTGGAGTGATAGTAGTAGATGCAGGCAGTAGTCAGTCTACTTTTCACAGACGTAATGTCTATATATTGATCATTGCCATGAATAACGTCATAACTATGCGCTTTTCTATCAAGTCTCCAACAGTAATTTGTCTACCCAGAGTATGATATGTTCTAGAGAGAGATGCCTCTAGTGAAAACTATGGCCACCAGGTCTATTTTCATCATATTACTAGAATCCTAAATACCTTGCTCCAATTTATTTACTTTTATTTTACATTGAAATTTATCTATCTCCTACAATCAGATTTAATCCTTACAATTAACGAGTACAAGGGGATTGACAACCCTCTTGCCTGCGTTGGGTGCAAGTATTTGCTCTTGTGTGTGTAGGTACTGTTGACGGTTGTTTGCGTGGATCTCCTATTGGTTCGGCAACCTTGGTTCCCTACTGAGGAAAATACTATCAGCTACTATATTGCTTCACCCTTCCTCTTCGAAGAAAATCTCAATGCAGCTTACAAGTAGCATGGGGCCTGCTAGTCAGTGACTCAGAGGGGGACAGAGAGGGCACGGGGGTGTGCTGGGCCGTCCATGCGCGATGGGCTGGCTAGCTGGGTCGTGGTTAGCATCGCTAGTTGGCCCCCTTTTTTTCTTTGTTTTTTCTTTTCCTATTTTATTCTAAATTCTAATTGATTTACAATTTGAATTTTCTTTCAAAAACCAACTTGATCTAAATTCCAAATGGAATATTCCTGACATGGTGAACATTTTATTTGCCCCTTTTGGGCAAATAGCTTCTCCCACCCTATATTTTATTTTTCTGTTATCAATTCCCTTTGAAATTCAATTTGGTTTAAATCAAATATGCTCTAAAACCAATTTGGAATATTAACAGTAAGTTAAATTTTTATTTGGACTTATGGTAATCATTTCCTGCCAAAAAAAATGGAAGGCCCTTTTAAATAATTTCTCTTTTGATTTTTGAATTGATTCCACCATCAATCCATTTCAATTATTTTCAGAAAATTTATCAAGGGTCTGAATTTCATTTGGGGCTTATTAGGAATACCTTTATGCCAAATAAATAATTCAATTTGTCACCATATTTTGGGATCCAAAATTATTCCCTATAAATTTTTAGGGTTCATTCTCTTTTTCCCAAATTTCAACTACGGTTCTAAATGTGGCCATAGGGTCTTTGACTCTCTGGGTGATCAAACAAGGCAAACATAGTCAATCAACAAGCACATCCTATGCAAGGTTAGCTAACCAAAGAGCAAGCAAAGGTTATTCTACAAAATAATTAATTCCCTGTGAAATTTTAAACATACCAAATTTGGGAAAACCTAGGATGTGACAGCGGCTTCCTTTTGCCATCTTTTTTTTTGTTCCTTGGCAGACAAGTTCATTGTTTTCTTGATTGTTAAGTTCGTGACTTGGAAATCAAGTTGATTTGAGATCATGATCGCGACACGACGCCTCGCGGGTTGCACCTTTGAGCGGAAGAGCAGGTCTTCGAAACCTCTCGTCCTTGTGATCCTGCACTGGAAGAGGACGAATTAGATTTTCGGGAAGCACTTCGTGCAACTGTTCAACTTTCTCACCATGGGTCGTCTTCCATCTAAGTCGGACACGTGTACAGGCATCTCCAGCGTCATCTGCTTCACATTGCTCCTGCGGCAAACAAATAGTATGTGCGTGGTGATCCGTTCTTGTCTCTAATTATGGTTGTTGTTACATGTGCAATGCTACTGTATATGTTTTCCTGTCTCATCTAGTATGCTAAACCGTTGCATGCTAATAATAGTTTTAATCATGATTTATATTCTGAAATTAATCACGAAATTGCCTAAGTCTGCAACAAGGCTCGCCAAATGCCAAGCTTTACCTTCCTCCGGGATTCTTTCTCAGCACCACGCTCATCTAAGGGGTAGAATTGTCGAAGACGATAGCAATCCGGTGTTTTCAAATCTCCCAGAGCACCGAGCACGTAATCGAAAGGAGTTCCTTCCTATGGCGAACCACTGGCCTATGAGAAGTGCACCAAGGCAACAGCTGATCATTCGGACCCGGTGTCCACTCAGCATTACTCCAAGCAGTCAGCACCATGTGCCAAACCGATCTGGAGAAGACACAGGCTACTAAGAGGTGGTCAATTGTTTCCTGCAGCTGATCTCAAAGAGGGCATGGCTCCTTACGTGACAGCCCACGCCCAGCGGCGATCGCAAAGACATTGTTAGATAGATGGAACACCATTTCCTCGATCTTGAGAGGCTTAAGAGTATCGTCTTAACTCAGCTTCTTTCTTTTCTGGAACTACCAAAACAAATACGTGTACCTTGCTCATGACACCCTACAAAAGAGTTTAAAGCTGTCAAGCATACTCCAGAGCCGATTCGAGACGAGAGGATCGTGGACACATACGCCCCGCGTGTGCAGCTCGAGTCCAAGTAGGATGCCGCGTCACTGTCCCGGAAGCAACCTAAAACCCAATCAAGATGAGGTGCGCGTTCGTCCCGTCGCTTGTCACCCACCAGAAACCATCCGGTTGCACTGTGCGAGATCATAGTTTTACTCAAAGCGTTTTCCTTGATGTCGAAGACAGGGTAAAGATGCCCGGGCCAGGCATGTTCAGACAAGAACAAGAGCGTACAAAATTCCAAAAGACATGCATGGCTATAATTAAGCCACACTATCACAGGCTGCAATGGTGGAATTACAGAGAGAATGGCATTGTCAGGAAGATACTGGTCGATTTTACGCACCCGTGTGGAAGATAAATGTACAAGGTAATACTCCCTCCGTCCGGAAATACTTGTCCTAGAAATAGATAAAATGGATATATCTATAACTAAAATAAGTCTAGATACAATCATTTTCTGGACAAGTATTTCCGGACGGAGGGAGTACTAAAAGGTAATACGTTTTTTATATTTTATTAGAAAGTCCGGTTGAAGCACGTGTGTGTTGGAAGTTGTGGTTATATTGCATCAAATCCATTTTTGACGTGATATACTATTATTTTACTGAAGCTAGGGCGGTGAAGTGCAGTGTGGCCGGTGTAGTCGCTGCCGCCTGTTGCATAGCGTGTCTGACGTTCCAACTACATAAACTGGGGTGCAAGTAACCCAGTTAATGCGGTTAGCCGACGTCCGACCAATGCGGTTGATGCTCGACAGGATGTGCAGGTCATTCAGCCACGAATCTTAACTGTCATTGGGGTACGTGCAATGGAGGAACTTAGGAACTTAAACCAAACTTGCACCTTATCTTGTTTTAGGTCCCTATATGCAGCTATGCTGCTGTGCAATCTTTTAGTTGGACCCCATGAAGAACAGAACCCTATAAGTTGAAGTGTTCTAATCCAGTTTCATCAGTCACTCCATGCACAGTGATGAAACTCTTGAATGAATCAACCGCCGAGCGAACCACTCATCTCCACATTGTCCTTAAGGTCGCTACCGAACTGACGAGATGATAAGGAGATCATAACAAATGCTAGCTGTCAAGGCTGCGTCGACCTTCCAGAGGAACTGAACATCAGACCATAGCTAGGCACGGCAGATTCTAGTCCGCATACTTCGCATCATGATTCTTGAGGCTTACTCCGAGTGAACCAACTGTTCAAAAGTGAAACGATCAAGTTCGTTCTGGCTCCTGATGTTCGAGAACATCCGTGTGAGTGAGCAGTGCTCCTGTCAAAAAAGAAACAATCCCTTTGCCCGCACTCTAAAACCCAGCGCGACCCAACTCTTCCTACTGCATCACCAGCAAAAAGCACTGGCGCTAGCTAGCAACTCTCTTTTCTCGTGTCATCTTCCTCCCAAACAAGCTTCGCTGATCACGCTTTTAGAAAAAGCTTGGCTGATCATCAACACCTAACACTTCTCATATTTCCCATCAACTCGGAAGAAAAAAGCAAAACATCGTATCTTCACCTAATAAATTGCACCCTCACCTAGCTAGTGGCCTCCATATATAACCTGTTCTCTCATGTTATGGTACGAGCGGGCATCGCTCCTCCCATTTGCGAAACATCTGCATTGCAGATCGATCAAAGGGTTGGGAGGACAATGGGGGCACACCGCCTCGCACTGCTCGTGTTCCTTGCCACCTTGCCACAGCTGCTGCTCGCCGGCACGACCAGATACTACACCTTCAATGTGCGTACTGTGTTCATGCATTTTCTCTCAATCTCTCTTTTCTTTTGTGTTTATGGGGTTATGCTGCATTTCAACATCGATCTCAAGCAAGCGCACATGTGCACATTTTCAAATGCACGAAATGCATGCATGCCATGCATCAGTTGTCCAGTTGAGACCATGCTGCGTGTGTTTGTTCTGGCAGATACGTACCGCCTGATGTGTGGGTTAATTTACAGGTGACAATGCAGAAGGTGACACGGCTATGCACCACCCGCGCCATCCCGACGGTGAACGGCAAGTTCCCCGGCCCGAAAATCGTCACAAGGGAAGGCGACCGCATTGTCGTCAAGGTGGTTAACAATGTGAAGCACAACGTTACCATCCACTGGTAAATCTTTGGCGCCTTGCTCAGTTGCTCTTACTTAATTCCATCGGTGATAACCGTACTGCTAGCTACATTTTTATAAACAAAGTCATGGTCATCACACTTGGGTAGTACTCCCTCCATCCGAAAATACTTGTCATCAAACTAGATAAAAGAGAATATATCTAGATGTATTTTAGTTCTAGATACATTTTTTTTTATCTATTTTGATAACAAATATTTTCAAACGGAGGGAGTAGCAACTGCAGCCACTTTTCTTAAGACGGCTCAGTTTTATCTTTCTGCGAAAAATTACTCCACCTCTAGTCTACTCTTTTACTAAGGGGTAACTGGCGTTGATGTGAGCGCAGGCACGGGGTGAGGCAACTGCGGACAGGGTGGTCGGACGGGCCGGCATACATCACGCAGTGCCCGGTCCAGACGGGGCAGAGCTACGTGTACAACTTCACCATCACCGGGCAGAGAGGCACACTGTTCTGGCACGCCCACGTCTCCTGGATGCGCGCCACGCTCTACGGCCCCATCATCATCCTCCCCAAGTCCGGCGTGCCGTTCCCCTTCCCAAAACCCTACAAGGACGTCCCCGTCGTCTTCGGCGAGTGGTTTAATGCGGATCCCGAGGCGATCATAGCTCAGGCGCTGCAGACTGGTGGAGGCCCAAACGTCTCCGAGGCCTACACCATCAACGGGCTTCCAGGCCCACTCTACAACTGCTCGAGCAAAGGCTGGTTCGTAACACACAACAAGAGGCCGAATTCAACACTCAAAAAACGCAAAATAAAAAAGAAGGGTTACGGTTTTCATGTCGATTTATTTTAGCTCACCATGGGTTGAACATTTGCAGACACGTTCAAGCTGAAGGTACAGCCAGGCAAGTGGTACCTGCTCCGGCTGATTAACGCTGCGCTCAACGACGAGCTTTTCTTCTCGATCGCCAACCACACGCTCACCGTCGTCGACGTCGACGCGGCCTACGTCAAGCCGTTCGACACGGACGTAGTCCTCGTCACGCCGGGGCAGACCACCAACGTGCTCCTCCTAGCCAAACCGGACGACGGCTCCCCGGCCGCCACACACCTCATGCTGGCGCGCCCCTACGCCACAGGACGCGTTGGCACCTATGACAACACCACCGTCGCGGCCATCCTCGAGTACGCGCCGGCGGGACACATCAAGAGCCGCCCGCTCTTATGGCCAACGCTGCCGGTGTTCAACGACACGGCGTTCGCCGCCAACTACAGCGCCAAGCTCCGGAGCCTCGCCAGCCCGGACTACCCGGCCAGGGTGCCGATGCGGGTAGACCGGCCCTTCTTCTTCACCGTGGGACTCGGCACGACCCCGTGCCCGACGTACCAAGGGTGCAACGGGCCTACCAACGACACCAAGTTCTCGGCGTCCATGAACAACGTGTCCTTCAACATGCCCACGACGGCGCTCCTGAAGGCGCACTACGACGGCAACACCGCCGGCGTGTACACGTCGGACTTCCCCACCACGCCGTCGGAGCCGTTCAACTACACCGGCACGCCGCCCAACAACACGAACGTATCGAACGGGACGAAGGTGGTGGTGCTGCCGTATAACACGAGCGTGGAGGTGGTGCTGCAAGACACGAGCATCCAGGGCGCCGAGAGCCACCCGCTGCACCTGCACGGGTTCGACTTCTTTGTTGTGGGGCAAGGCGTCGGCAACTACGACCCGTCCAGCCATCCTGCCGGGTTCAACCTGCTCGATCCCGTGCAGAGGAACACCGTCGGCGTCCCGGCCGGAGGCTGGGTCGCCATCAGGTTCTACGCTGATAACCCTGGTAAGTTCATACTCCACTTGGCAAAACTGCACAAGTTATATGGGGTTGATTGATTCACTCTTTTCCTTGCATGACGGGGCAGGTGTATGGTTCATGCATTGCCATCTTGAGGTGCACACGAGCTGGGGCCTGAAGATGGCATGGGTGGTCAACGATGGTCCGTTGCCTGACCAGAAGCTGATGCCTCCGCCGTCCGATCTACCCGTCTGTTAGACTCCGGCCGTCAACCTTAACCAACATTGCTATTCATTTCTTTCCTTTGGTTTGCATAAACACAGTGGTGGATGAATTAATTATCGCACATACATAAGCACAAAAGGTTTTAAGAATTGTATAGATCTTACATGTATTTTCTCATGCTCATTCTTTCCGATGTTACGCTCTGTTCTTATCACAGGTGGCCATTGCTTCACTTGCTTTTACTTGACATTGTTTTGAGGCTTTTGTTTGAAACGCGAACGGTTTATACGCTACCAGCTACCCATGGTTCGGCATAAAGTCGGATGACTAAATATAAGACGTTTTTTTCACACTGGGGGTACTACATTAGGATGAGAACAGTCGAGAGAACTCCATTTGCAGAGGAACCAGAGCAGTATTAGTCGATATCAGCAATACGCGGCCGGTCTGCCCATGTCGGGACATACTGGATCTTGTACATGATCTCCTCGGTGCGCTTGGCGGGACATAGCTCGCGAGAGAGGGACTCCACGGCCTGTCGCTCCCCGTCATAGCCCATGTCCGACCAAGTGAAGGGGACGATCCAACATGAGTACACGTCACGCCCTGTCGCTCCCACGTGCCAACTCGTGGCCTCCATTTCTGTCTCGAAGTTGACACGCTCCTGTGTGCCGCCGCCATTGCTCTCCTGTTGATCGAGTTCGAACCCGCGATAGCCACAGCCTGTATGTAGGCCGGGTTATGTGTTGATCAGCTATAGCTATCACTGCACAATTTATCTCTCTACACTAGCTCAGTTCCGGATGGCTGTCGATACCATCAATAGCAGTTAAGTAGTACATGACTCGTGACAGGCAGCGCGCCTGCCTGTGCGCCAACAGTGTCTCGGCTGCGCTTGGTTTCTGTTGGTAACCCGAAGTGAGTTCCTGTCATCGACCACCGGTTAAATGCAGAGGTGGACGGCCTGCGGTGTCTATTCGACGGAGCTTCGCCGATGAAAGTGTAGGGGTGGAATGACTCGGTGAGTGTGGATTGTTTGTAAGCTTCAGATAAGGAGAAAGTGATGAGTTCAGAGCATTTGCATCGTGTACGTACTTGACTCCTGATACTACTGATAGGCCCAGCCATGAGTCATCTTCGTATACTTGGGAGGTAGTAGAGTGACATATTCCTTCGGCCTTTCTCTCGACAAGCGCGATGGGATAAGGCTGCACTGACGTGCAAACCTACGACGACGAAGCAGGTTCGGTTTGGACAGAGCAGACGGCATGGCCGCGCCTGGAAACGCCATGACGGAATGCAGGCTCGCCATGCCGCCGTGATAAGAGCTGGACTGGAGTGGAGTGGAGGAGGGCCCCCTGCGCGAGCGTTTTTGTTTCTCCTTTTCTCGACGACAATGCAGCCACAGCCCAATGGCGCGTCCATTCTCTGTTTCTTGGCCCAATACGGTGAACCCATCCATTTTGCGTTTCGAGTTTTCGACCCATGTGGGCATGGCCGAAAAAAAGGCACTCGCCGCGGGCGCGTAAGATTCGGCGACCGGCCGACCTATGCTGGGGCGTGCGGAAAATCAACCGAGACGACGCATCGGGATGCGCCGAGCCGCGCGGCACACGGTTGCACGTGGGCATCACGAGCACGGCCACGGCCAGACGTGCCGCCTCGCGCGCCCGTACACACGTCAAGTCAAAGCACTCATCAAACGAATCGGACACAGATCGCGGGCGCCGCACGGCTGCGCCGAACCGAACCAAAGAACCGAATCGGAACCTCACGATGAAATATGGCTGTGAACCTCACGAGGAAATAAGCTGGACGGTGAATACCTCAATAAAAGCATTCCTAGTAGAACCCTCAAACCCTCAAACCTTTATAGCAGTTTTAAGGGTTGAGAAGTGCCACTTTTTGACACTTTTAAGGGTTGAAAAACAGGGGCAAAGACTAGAACCCTCAAACCTAACCCGTAAACTGCTTTAAGGGTTGGATTTGAGAGTTCTAGTCTTTGCCTCAACCCCAACCTTTAAAACTGTCATTTCATATATCACACATTTCATCACATTTCATCATATGACATATCATAAATTTCATCACATTTGACATAAAACAATAATCATTCTGACTTAACATTTGTGCATTCTTGATCATCATTCCCACTCTGACCATACATCCCTCTGACTTCATCTTGCAGCGTCAACATTTTGTTCAATGATTCATCCTTGTTTTTAGCACTAACAGCTAGCAGTGCACACATTTGCTTTTTTACATGATCAGGTACCTGTGTGCAGGGCACACAATCTCTTCTCTGTCCAGCCAAATGCTTCTTGAACCTTGTAATGCCATCATTGTAGAAGTTCAAACAATATTTGCATCCAACTCTATTCTTTGTCCTAAACTCATCTGTAATTGGTAAAGCATGCTCCCAAGCTGCATCTTTTCTTGTTCTTGTATTTGCGGAGCTGGCACCTGATGAAGACATCTTACTGGTCGCCTACTATTGCAGAGAAAAGACACAAACATAAGCTATCAAGAGTTCAAGACAGTAAAAAAGAAATGGAACATACTACTAGTCTACTATTGATAGTTCTTTATGTATGTCAAAGCCAATTATTAATATATGACAAGCTATAGCTACCAGCCTACCACTGCCATTATTTTTGAAAAATGCTACTAAAGCCTAAAGGAATTGAAACCAAGAAAATCGAACAAAATCTCTACTTGAAATCTGAACTTGAGGTGTCAGTTCTGTTCTGTCCATCAGAAGTACACTACACATATCCACCAGCCCAACTTATCAGATTAGAAAGAGATTAAACCAACATAATCTCTATTCTCTATTCTTTCAATTTCTCAAGGCTAACTACAAATCTCAAATTAACTTGAAATTACTCACAAGTTTCCAACCAACCTTTCTATTGCAGCATAGCTAGGATATGTACAGAGTACAGCGTACTTACAGCTGCTGGATTGGAGATTGCTTGAGCGCTGGTGGCCTCGAGCAGGGAGAGGAGTAGCCAACAATCGAGCAGGGAGAGAGCAGCCGACGCCCCACAGTCGAGCAGAGAGAGGAGCTGCGGGCCTGCGGATTGCCGGAGCGTCAGTGGTGTCGAGGCGTCGAGCAGAGCAAGGCGTCGAAGAGAGCAGAGTAGGGAAGGGGAGCGGACGAGCGGGATGGGGAAGGCCCGAGGGGAAGGCGCGCCGTCCTGCTCTCCCTCCCCGTCCGGCGTCAGCCACGCCGGCGCAGAGGACGACGGCGGAAGGGGAAGCACAGCCTCCAGCCGCCAGCGGCCAGGGCAAGGAGGGGGGCGAGGCGCGGCGGGGCGGGAGGCGGCGGGGCAGGAGGCCGGGGGGCGG